AAAAAATCTTAAAAAAAGCCATGAATACGTTCTCTTCTTAGTTCAGTTCTGGGTTCAACTGGTCAACCAGGGGGAGGGGGACCCATGAAGCTGGTTCATGGTCCAGTGAAAAAATACTATTTAAATTAGGTTTGGGTCTTAGCTGATTAAAGCAATTTGTTCCAGTTTTTGATTCACGGTTCAATCCTGCTGACGTCTCTGGTTTACAGCAGACAGGCCTCTGTCCCCGGCAGCAGGAATCCTGGCTACCAGCTGCCCACCCCACCAGGGCCGCTGACAGGGTGGCAGACAGGCCCATGGCCTTCAGCCTTCAATGCATGTGAGGAGGGTAGCATGTGCTTGGTGGACATGCGAAGGCCCTGCGGCAGAAATTGGGGGTCTAGCATTCCATCTCACATTTCAGTCTTCCCTTTATAAAGAAAAATAATTTATTAAGGCATTGGCCTCTTATTAAAATGTAAAGACTCCAGAACAGAGCCACTGTTGTTGATGATTCATGCCTTCACATGAATGAGTTTAGCAGATCCTGTGTAGAAGGAGATCTCACGACCAGGCGGCCTGCAGAGCGCTGGCACATGGGGCGTGGTAGCACACAGGGAGGGGGGCTGCAGGACAGCTTGGACACGGGGCCCACAGGTGGGTAGTGGGTGGGCGGGAGCCAGAGGGGGAGACCACCTACATTTTGCTGGTGGTGACGCAGGGTGTGACTACCGTTCTTCCCTCTCTGGATCCTGCATTTGGGGAGGCAAAAGAAGGCGCCAACACAGTCAAGAGCCCGAGGGGAACAGAAGGGCTGGGAAATTCACAAGCTGGACAACTTGACCGCACTCAAGGATCTTGCCCCATATCTGGGGAGGCTACTTGACCACCAACGCCGGGACTGGGCCTATATTAAAAGAATCTCCTCTGACCTGCTATCCTGACCCCAGACACGGATGGGAAGCCCACCCACTAACCGTGCCGTAAAGACAGGATTTAAAGCAGCCCTTCCAAAAAGAAAAGGACAGATAGATAAAGAATGGACAAAAGAATGAGAGTCCTTCAGTCCCAGAAGAGCCTGTTCTGACCTGCTCCTTCCCTCCTCAACTTGAACCTCAGTTTATTAGGCCAAAATGCTCGATGCGCTCTTGTTCTGAGCCCCTCTGAGCAGGGGAAAGGAGAGGCATTCCCTCCATCTTCCCGCTCTGGCCTTGCCAAAGCGCTTTGCATAGAGTAGATCTCAAAAGAAGACATGCTACGTAATTCTAAACAACAAATGAAACATTTGAAAACAATTTTGTATTCATACCCAGTCTCAACCCCCAAAGGCAAATTGCAATCATTGCCTTTAGTACTCCGTAGCTGGGTCTCATTCCTAAGCAGCCCCAGGTTAGCAGGTGCTGGCTAATTTGCACAGTGGAATTGATTTGTAGGAATCCACCTCGCATCCCTGGTTGCAGGCTAGGCAGTTTAATAGGAAATGAAATCAAATTGTGTGCAGCCTATTATTTAGAAGTGAGAACGCCCAGGTTCTCGGGGTGGAAGGCCACAGCAGCAGGTTTTCCTTTTAGTGCCTGCCAAGGCTTGGCTTCCAGGAAAGACGCTGTGCACCCGCCAGCTGATGCCTGAAATTCCACTGCGACCACTTCAAACCCTTGGTTTTTCTAGCCATTAATCACCTGGGGAAAATCATCACACGTTCTGGCTCACGGTAAATAGGAGCAGATTCTGACAGCAGGCCGAGGGGCGAGACAGAGTGGGGGGGTCAGGTGCTGTCAGGGAGGCAATCTGCATTTCCCACCCAAATCTCAAGGAGTCCTCATGACCTTGTGAGGGACAGCCTTTCATTGTCCCCATTTCACAGAAAAGGAACCTGAGGCCCAGGGAGGTTAAGACATTTTCCAAGCTCCCAGAAGCGGCGGGGGGGGGGGGGGGGCAAATCTGAAAGCTGCATGCACACCTCAGACTTCATTTCTTCGGCCTCTTATGCTATCATGGGCCTCTCAGAAGGGCTCTGGAGGAGAGGAAGCGCTCATCTCTTGACCTGTGGTGTGATTTTGGACTGTCGGGTACTTCTCTGAGCCTCAGTTTCTTCTTCAAAGTGTGTCACAGGCTGAATTGTGTCCCCCACAAAATTCAAGACCCTCACACCCCCCACCCCCGTACCTCAGAATGTGACTGTCTTTGGGAGACAGGATCTTTAAAGAGGGGATGAAGTTACAATGAGGCTGTTGGGGTGGATCCCGGTCCCATCTGACTGGCATCCCTTAGAAGCAGGGGCGACACCAGGGGCGGGCATGCACAGAGAACGGCCACGTGAGGGGCAGCATGGAGGCCGCGTCTGCAAGCCAAGGAGAGAGGCCTCCAGAGAACCAACCCTCGCCCGCACCTTGATATTGGACTTCCAGCCTCCAGAACTGTGAGAAGTAAATTTCTGTTTGTCCAGTCAGTCTGTGGCACTCTATGATGGCACCCTGAGCTGGCTGGTTGGGTGACAATTTCTCTAAATCGGTGCCTCACAAACGTTCTTCCACAGGTGTCAGCAGATGGCCCGGGGATCTTGCTGCAACGCGGTGGGGCTAGGGGAGCATCTGCCACTCCTCACAAGCTCCCAGGGCATGCAGGACGGGCCCATCCCATCCCTCAGCATCCAGCAGTCACCTCCCTGCCCAGAACCCAATTCATTGCCAAATACGAGGTTCCCTTTAGGTAAGAGGGACAAGATGCACCTAAAGACACGGGCACGAAAAGCCAAAGCAGGAGAGAGAGACAAGGGAGGAGTCTGGTGAGGTGTTTGCAGGCAGAAGGCATGGAGGTAACGGAGAAGGCAAAGGGCAGGCCGCGAGCTGATGCACCGATTACAACCTGCCATTTAGGGAGTGCCTACAGTGTCCTTGGCACCGGGTTGGACACAAAGTCACTGTCTTATGCAGGACAGACCACGCT